ACGGACCAGCTTGGAAAGTCATCTTAGATGAACTTAACATACCACCCACTGTATCAATCACCCACTGTCCATGTACTCTAAAAAACGTGAAAGGTGTGCAGGGTGACACACGGACCGGAGGGGATCCGGGTAGCTAACCTCTGACACATCCCAGGGTTGTGACCTCGTCCAAGAATCACTAACCCCATCTCGTGATAGACCATCAGAAGGGTTGCTCTCAGAGTCAATCCATTCGATCCAAACACGAATTTGAAATCTTTGGAACAAGAAATGCGCGACCTGGACGAGCGTATGGACATCGATCTGGGAGCTGGATCCTCGAATGAGGGAAGCAACAGCTGCTTCATTATCGATGAACCATAGGAGATCCTGGTGGTGTAAGGTTGCTCCATGAAACCATGGTACCAAGAGCCCACACAGTGTCTCACCAGGGTAAATTTGTTGTGTACGATCGGTCCAGGACTCAATCACCTCTTGTGGGACGACACACGTCAGTCCCTGGGGGCGAGACGACTGACCGAAGACAACCCAGCCGACGCGGAGGACCCCATGTTCAAAGGACGCATCCGAGTACACAAGGACTGGTTGGGGAGGGAGAGCCCGCACAGCTACATCTCGAGGCCCTGGGCAGGTCACCAACGCTGCTAAGAGCTGAAAGGTAACGGACTCCTCAGGGGAGAGAGTAGGGGAGTCAGCATGCTGCAACGCAGTGAGTGTGGGTCCCGCGATCCGCCCTGCCTGACCGGCACACATGCTAAACATCCAGTTGAGGTCCCCTCTGAGCTTTCCAGCGTCGTCCGGCGACAGACTGTTGGTAGCCAGCGCCAAGTGAATTTTAGCTAAAACCTTCCTCTGAGTGGTGAACTTGGGTTGGAATCTGATCGCTCCCATAGACACAAAGTCGCCAACATGTACTGAAGTACCAAGGTAATGACGGTTACGTCCAGGTGCGAAAGATTTGGATGCTTGCGGTGGTGCTCCCAAGAGTTGGAACACAAGTTGGAGTCCGCGCTGCGAGACATCCGCATGGTGAACAAAATCAACCGCAAGTTCATCATCAAAGTATGCAGCACAAAAAGAGAGGGTACAGCGTCTTGCAATCGCGATACCCAACTGAGGGAACCGGTTGAAGCTCACCACCGCACTCTCTAACCCGTAGGCGAGTCCATACATGGTGGTAAACCGCCAGCCTTCGTCGGGGACGAAAATGGCCACATTGGAAAACCGCAAATGGTCATCTTGGACCGGCAGGCCTCGATAGGCATCGGGCAGGTCATCCGTGCCCAACCGTAAATCAAGCCAATCAGGAGGGTCGGACCGATGGGTCTCCAAAACGGTATTAACCATGCGCGCTACGGATGCAACAAAGTCAACATTAACGGTCGAAATGGTTTCTTGCATGGATGTATGACGGTTATGGCCACTCTTTCGGGCATTATCAATGACCCTTTGTTTACCATCAGGTTGAATAATAAGGAAACGTTCCACAGCGCGCCAGCCACCCACACCAAATAGATCGTTCATCTCCTGCATGGTTCGCAGTGGGCTGCAAAAACCCTTGAGGATCTCATCCTGAGTAACTGCCAAAATTTCTGGAGCATGCAGGGGGGGTCGACTACGGATCAACCGCTGGACTTCCTCTTCAGCTGATGGACCCAGCCAATCAGCCAAAGGGAGTTTGTCCGCTTGTTGAATACCTCGGAACACCCCGGACGGCGGAAGGGACCCAACAATAGCGAACCCCTGGACGAGTTGGCGGGCCATATCACGGTCCGGCCATCGCAGAAGGCATGCCATGGTTGCAACAAAAGCAGGCTGTTTAGTATGCGCTACTTTGTTGGAACTAGTAGACCTTACGGCCGCAAGACACGGGTTCAGGAGTTGCACAGCTTTTCCACAGCTTTCAAAGTGCGCCTCAGCCTTTGGCTGTACACTGGGAGAAACTGCTGCCAGACACCCAGTGCCTGGACCACAAAGGATACATCAGGTTCAGGCCAGTCAGACGGATGGAAAGGTGACGGGAGTTGCCTGGCCTGTGCCACATGTTCATCCTTGCCCAACCCCGGGGGCAAGAGATGGTCCAAGCCCTTGGCCGAGGAGCTTGGGTAGCGTTGGCCGGTCAGCCCAGCGAAGATAGCTGTTCGCATGCGCCCCCAAATGGGGACCGGTCCCAGCACTTCCCACGGTTCTTGCCGAAGCCGCCTCCACATAGGATATGCTTGCAGACTCGCCAGGTCACAGGCCTGCAACCGAGCAAGGACCTGGTGCCAAGTACTGTCTGGTATGTCCGCAAACGCGAATTGGATCCGCAGATCGAGGCATACCTCGGTAGCGGTCAACAGACCGGGCATAGCGTCCAGGCGCCCTGGTTCCCAGACCGTGTGTTGCAACCTATCCCGCAATGCTGCTTCTTCCGCGGAGGTGAACGAAGGTACAAATTTGGCCTCCAAAATACTAGGTAGCATAGCCATGAGCGCCACCACACAAGGAATATGGAAGCCATTACCAATGAATGAGTTCTGTGCCTGGGTGCGCTTGACCTGATTTCCCCGAGCAGGAGCTACCAGTGCTGGCGGCAAGCACATCATCTGGCAGCGCTCAGCAGGAGATGGTTGGCGCCATTGCTTCCCGTGCCACAAAAGTGAGTGCTCTTCATAGGCCCCCCGGAGGGAAACGGCGCTGGTCAGCATAGAAACGTTCGGCTGCTGCAGGACTAACCTCGGGGACCCGGTCCTCCGGATGGTAAAATTCCCGAGTGAATGTGTGCATCGCGCCCTTGCCAGCCTGCTGTAACACCGCCTGAGGGGAGAGCAGAGGTAGGAAATGGTCGTCCCAAAACACTTGCGGTGGCAGGGGCTTCTTTCCCGCATACCGCAGTTCCGCAACTCCAGATGTAGTTGTGCACCATTGCCACGACTCCGGAGGTGGGTTGGCCGGACTGACCACGCCTCGCCGGGAGCGGAGCCAGAAAAACCGTCGACGCGACACCCATCCACAGGAACCTCCGTCCAGTAGGATGGGGGGGCCCGCCAACCAGTTCTCATAGGCCTGTTGGACCTGCTTGGGCATACTGGCCACATTCTCAAGGAAAGCGACAATCTCCATGCCCTGACAAGCTGGGAGCTGTTCAAACTCTGATACAAGCCGCCGAAGTTCAAGCGGTTGTTGAGATCGTGTGTCATCAAGTCCCTTGCGGCGCCTGTTCAAGGCTGAATTGCCCTGGCACGGGGAGCCCCCACCCAGGAGGACCCCCCGAAAAGCTCGGCGAACCAGCATAGGGATGAAATCCACGGCACGTAGGTCCTCCACCCGGGTGACAGGAACAACGTGGGGCATGACCACTTGAGTACAATGGGCGGCCTCATCATCCATCTCAGCAGCCACTGCATAGAAGTGAACTCCCATAGCCAGCAAAGCGACCAAAAGCCCGCCAATACCTGACCAAAGGTCCACAACCAGCCAAGTACCCTTGAAGGGCTTTGCCCAGGGAAACTGCGGCAAATCCCCTTGGCCCCTCCAAGTGACAGGCTTGGCTGCATACAGGCGATCAGCCATAGTCACATGGCCAGAGTGACCATCAGGTCGCAGGATCACACGGCGGTGGGCCTCAGAAGATGTCGAACTGGCCGGAAGCTGCACACGCAAGGCCACCTCGTCTGGGCCCCCCCCGGGGTTCCCCGACCCTCGGGGGGCGTTGTCCCTATTCATGCTGGAGCCGGGTGTGACTGGCCAGGCAGGCTTTCCCGGAGCTCAACTTGACATCACACTGATGAAGGTCCTTGCAGCCCGCCTTGGTACAGCCACGCCCGTCGTTGAAGGGCTTGCAAATCTTCTGACCCCCTTTCAACATAGAGATAGTAGGCCATTTGTCCGTCTTGACCAGGCGCCTCTCCTTTGCTGGGCCTTTCTCTTGCGGCTGATCATTCTCCGCCAAGCGGCGCTTCGGGGAGGCACCTGCCTCAGGCAAGGTGGGCTGAACTCCCGGGGCGCGCCAGTCAATATGGGTCTGGCGCAAGGCCTCCTCCAAGGCGGACGCACCTGTGTAGCCACGGCGGATGAGGGAAGCCATCTTGGAGCGTGTGTTGATATCATTGCGCTCCAGCCAAATCAGGCTACCCTGCCCGAACTCCATAGTGAATTGGAGGGCTTGATCTGCATAAGACATCGCTGGGGCCAGGGGCATGAAGACTTTCTCATTGCCATCGAAGTCAGATACCTTGTACAAACCTCCCCACGCCCAGGCATAAGCCAAAGTACGTAGGGAGAAATAGTACTCCACCACGGTTCGCGCAATACGATGATCGTCGGCTGCGAACTCAAGCTGGACGCCCGCGCCCAGGCGGACTGATTCCTGTTGCTTGGGTGCCGACTGGTGGAGGATGGATCGGACCTTGGCCACACTGATGACTGACATTGTCCTTTTGCGGAATTCCCTGTAAATACGGGACCGAAGGGCGTCGGATGGTTCCAAGAACGCATCCAACACCACACCGTATTTGGCGGCAAAGTCCTTGTGAAGTTGTTGCATGGTGGATTCTGGGAGTGTCTCATCCACAGCTTCCGGCTGCTTTGCCTCCGCAGCGGCTGCACGAATGGCCTCAAGGCCAGCTGCGTGGGCCGCTTTCAGCCTGGCTCGCAACAACCGGTTGTCTTTCATCTTGGTCGGCTGGAGGACTTGATCCAAGGACGTTTCCATGGCGGTCTCGTTGAAGTAGTAGACAAAATCTTCCAACGTTTCCCACTTGTGGGCATGAACCAACTCACTCTTCCACTCCTCCAGGATGTTGGCTCCAGCGAAGCATGTCGTCAGTCCCCTGTCATCCTGGTAGGTATCGATACGCCTCGAACCGCTCATGGCCGTAGGGGTACCACAATCGAATCGCGTGCGTACTCTAGCTACGACCCTCTGAGCCCTGAGCTGGGTTGCGACGTAGCGAACACCACAGGTGGAGGTCCCAGACCCACCACCCTGCCCGTCGGAGCGGCCGAACACACCTCGATACCCACCCCATTCTGGTGGCACCCCGGAGGAGGCCAAGCCAGGTCACAGACCCAAAAGGTGCCCCTCCAAGCCTACCCCGAGGGGGGGAAACAGGGGTGGGGGCACCACAATCAGAAAGGTCGACCGGGAACACGACGTCGGAAAAAGGTCGGTGAGCAAAATCAAACTCGACCCCCATGTAGACGCACGTCGACCCCCCGCCCCCGCACCCCACGGCACCTCTGGTCCCTCAGCTTTTTATACACTCAGTGCAACCATCCGCACTGGTCAGGCAAGGAGGCATAGAGGCCTCGTGGCATGCGTGCCAGGCACCGCTGGCAGAATTGGCTTCGGACAACCAATCCAAAGCCCTCTCCCTGGCTCTTGGGATCTTGGGCGAAGGGCGAATCCCGGCAGTAGGGCAGTTGGCGTTCATCCAGCACTCCACTGACGATGTGAACTCGGCGGCTTTGGACGAACCATTTGGCTTCTGTGATAGCCGCCTCCTCTGCCAGGACGCCTTCCAAGTCACTACCCATGGCCGAACAGTCCGACGCGGACGATGAAGTAGTCGAAGACGATGCGGACTGGGCCTCCGGATCGGCAGCCTCCTCCGGCGGAGTGATCTGGTCAGCCTCCTCAGCCGGGATCTCCTCCTTGGGGCCTGCCACAGGCAAGGCACTTCCCGAGGCCTCCTCAGGCAGTGTGTCTGCAGGAGGGGGGGCCTCAGGCGCCGTCACCGGCGGTGTCTCTGGAGGAGGTTGGACCTCAGGCGTCATCAGCGCCGCCTCCAAGGGCCCAAAACTTTCGTTCATCTGAGCGAGCTCAGGCCAGGTCCAGGCGTCACGGGCCACGAGACCATCAGCATTGAGGGCCAGTTCAGGGAGCTTGCGCCTCAGTAGATGGAGAAACCGCTGAATCAACGCTCGCTTGACGGCTGCCGAATGCAAGACCTTCTGCCCGGCATAGTGAAGGCCCATCGACCATACTGCTTTGCTCTTGCGAACAGGTTCAGGACCTCCTGCACTGGGAACCTCCTGCCAGTTGCCAATGGCCTGTTGGTTGGAGGGCTGCAAGCCACATACCATACCCATAGTTGGCAAGAACCGGCGCAGCCTGTTATAACCAGCCCCCCGGGCCTGGGCGTGGTCCACCTGCATGGTGATGAGGGCGCCCCGCAGGAGTTCCAGGAAACGACCCCGCGACATCTTCCTGTTTACCAGCCATGCCGTGCCTTCAGTGACCTCCCAGAGATCATCTGAGCTAAGCTGGAGGGCCGGCCACAGGAAGTTCAGCTGGGGGTTCAACTCCATGGTCACGAAGTCCCGGACAATACGATGGATGCTGAGCCCTTGAAACTCCAATTCTGGCATAGCCCACGAATACGGAGGCCGCGCGCCACGCCGTCGGGCTTTGCCTTGGGAGCATTCAAAAACCAGGCATTGAGGATGGCTCTCCATGTAATGCGACCGTTGAAAATGTTCAAAGCGTACACATGAAATAGCTGCCCAGACAAAAAATGTCAAAATCAGCAAATGTGTGCCGGACGCTTTCTTCATCATCAATAACAGGTTCACCAGCTCCCAGGGTTGTAGTTCGGTCCTCTGCTGTACCCGATGATCCGGTGGGAGCAGCCTGAAGGGTTGGGTAAGCCAATGGTCTGTATTGAAGTTGAGGCCAAAGGTAACCCGAAACCACTTCAATGCCTGAAACATGGAGGATGCGGCTGTGGGTCCACCCTGGGCCACTGCACGAAAGAATTCGCCCAACTGGAGCGGAGTTGGCTGAGCAACGGGGAAAGCCTTCTCAGAGGCATACCGCTGCCAGCGCCGCAAAGCCGCCAGGAGGGCACCAATCCTCGCCTCAGTGAGTCGGCCGGTGGACTGCATAATCTGGTCCTTGAACTGCTGCAAACGGACGGGGTCGCCCAACTCTTCCCAGGTCACCCCCAACTCGGCCAGGTTGAGGAACTCACTCAATAACAAATCAAAGAGGGCCTGAATCTTGGTAGCCCTTTTGGCCTCAGCTTTGGTATGGGGATCAGCAGTTGCAGCTGCCAGCAACATGGGTGGCCGCCCTGGGAACCCAGTCTCCAGCAGCTGCCTCGCGTGTCCCTTAGGGCCTGTACCCTTGGGTGCAACCACCATGGACGTGGTCTCCACGACTGAGGCACGGTTCCCGATCACCGCTCTGGCAACGCGCCAGTTGTGATTATAGGCCCGGCGAGCAGCAATGCTCCACAAGGCGCTAACCTGGAATGCTTCTTCGGCGTCCAGGGGGCCTTGGATGCGCTCAAGCTCTGCCACCAACTCGCCGCCATGGGACCAAATGCCAACCACGTCCTGGCAGGTCTGGACGCCCAGGTGGCAAAACAGCTGCACCAACTCATCCGAGCGCTCGGCCACCAACTCCAGCAAATCAGCCTCCATGGCCTGGTCCGGCTGGCGCACAGTCACAACCGGAGTACGGCCACGCCCTGGCGACACAGAGGGCGACCGTGGCCTCCTCAGCCGCAGTGGAGGAGGTCCTGGTGGTGGCATGGGCTGCCTAGGGAGGGCCGGTCGCTGAGGATCCACTGGAGGCTGCTTGGGTGGTACCGGACAGCTGCTCTTTGAGGAGGTCTCTGGCCTGCTGGGCTGAGATTCCGAGGATCTGCGCGACCTCCTCAATGGAGACCTGGCTGGAGGCAGCTTCGAAATGGGGTGGATTGGTCCGGTCACCCCAACCGGTGATCTGGACCTGGTCCTCGGTGTCTTGGCCCCCTTGTTCGATGAACGCGGCATGGCCTTGCTCCCAAGAAATGTGATCAAACCTGCACCGGTCACAGACCAAGTGCAGGTGATCACACTCCGCGCACACCGCTCCGAAGCTCTCCGGTAGGCGGAAGTAGCAGCCCTCGCACCAAGAAGCTGTAAATACCCCACAACACCGGCAGAAGTCTGCCTCCAAATCCGGGCGGCGCTCCACTGTATCCCAAATAGCCAGGATGTAAGCTGACCGCGCACCAAGGTCAGCCCTTCGATCTTCGGCAGAAATCGTCGCCGGGTCCACACCGCGATGAGCCCTCCGCCACCTTCTCGACCCGGGGTTCCAAACCGCCGCAGTCGATCGGGTGATCCGAGGCATAGCGGGGCCCGGAAAAACAAATCCCTGCCCTGATCTTGAGCCAAAATGGCATCAAGATCAGGAGTTACCCCTATATGTTTCAAATCCCAAAATGTCCCTACCCAACCAACCATTCATTTTGGGAAGATAAAGATGTAAAAACATAAACAAGTGTACGTAGCATCAAAAAGGAATGCCAGCACCAGGCTACGCGCTGATCACGGCATTGGATGCAATCACATCAACCTCAGTTCATAGAGCGTCATCTGTTGATCGGAACAACATTGATCAGCTCTACAGCTACTGCACAGACTGCAGTATAAGACATACGACCTCCATCTCCCCAAACGAACGCGCAGTCCTGTTGCTCCAAGGAACCCCCATGCCCGTGGTCGACGCCGATTGAAAGAGCTGCACAGTTCTGGTCCATTGGCTGCCTTTCCTCCGTTTTCAAATCTCAGGTCCCTCAGGTCCCTCTCCAAGTTCTGAGAACCTGTGGTGAGAAAGCCTAAAAAATTCCCGTCACCCAATTCCAGGGTGAACGTGCCGTGTTGAGAAAAAGTTGAGCATACTAGGTTCATGATCTTGCTTCAGGTGCTTCCGTCCATGCCCTTTAATACACTGGCATGGACCACACTGGAAGGAAGCACCTGAAAGGGCATGGACGGAGCCACAGGGCTATTTGTACATGAAAAAAAACAAACAACTGGGCCTTTTGCACATGGAACAACAGGTAGGTCTTAGTCCTTGGTCATCCAGGTCTCTCACACGCGCTCAAGGCTGCATTGGAAGCAATGGCATTGCACTCGACCTGACCACATGGCAGATTGACGAAGCTGGATGGCTCCCAAGACTTTGTCAAGGACTAAGGCACCACAGCAGCCCTGCCCAAAAGCTGGGCGGCTCCCAAGAGTACAACACGTGAGTTTCCACTAGGGGCTCTACTAGGAGCAATGTTCGCTACTAGGGGCTCCTGGCATCGCTACTAGGAGCAAGGACGCTACTAGGGTCCAATTGACTTTTGGTCGTCCTCGGACTTGGCACTTGGAGTCAAACATCCATGGGTCCACATCCGTGGGTCAGCCTCCGTTACAGCGGGGGGCTTCAGGGTCGGCCAGCATGTTTTTCCTGCTTGCTTGCAACTATTTCCCTTCTTACTCTTCCTCTCTTCAACTCTCCAGCATCCTCAACTTCCTCCTCCTCCTCCTCCTCCTGCTCATCCTCATCCTCATCCTCCTCCTCATCATCATCATCATCAATGGTTATCATTGTTGATCATTGTTGCCATCATCGTGATCATCATCATCTTTGCTCCGTTCGCCTCGACTTCTGCAAGTCTCTTGAGCAAGTGCAAGGCGTGTAGCCACTGGTCCCTGCACACCTTCAGCAGCGAACCGAAGCTGATGATGCCTCGGTTCGACAGGCAGGGGCGCCAGGGGGAATTCTCCACCGGCAAGTCATCCACTTCGGTAGAGTCTCCGGACAAAGAAAAGGTACCCGTCACCACTACCACCCCACGGCCTGTTCAGGCAAACATGCCAACAAGAATCTTAATCATCACCATGAGGAAGAACAAGAAACTCCACCATTGGCTGTCATCGATGATTGTGAAGTGAGCATCCCTTCATCCAACCCTCTTCTCCACGAGCCCTACCTTGCCCAGCTACTGGCCCGGTGGACGAAACCCTGGAGCTCCAGGCTGAAGCGCCACCCGCCGTGACCACTGGCCATCGCCGCATGGAGGGCCTCGTTAGTCAGCTGCAAGCCGTTGAGCTGCAGCTGCTGCAGGACCTGAAGGACAATTGGCACTTCTCGGAATGACCACCCAGGAAGGATGGGTGTTGGAGGTATTCTAGTCTAAACATGCAGGATGGAGCAGGGGTAGAATCGCTCATGCCCAGGACATAGTTCATGCGAAGTTGCACACAGGCAGTGAGCGAGAGAGGAAAAACGCCAGTAGTTAGAACTCAGGATGCATCAGGAGGCTATTCAATAGCGCTTGTGCATTTGTGCATTCATGCTTGGCGAGAATGAAGCACCAAAAATATGCCTGATTCCATACCCCCCTCAAACAATCATGGAGAAGCTGAGCAACCCCCCTTGTAGAGGAAAATTGATCTTTTGGCGGCCTGTGTTCCACTTCCATGATTGTTTTAGGGAGACGATTCAACGACACACTTGGTGAACCACGTTCTTTCCTACTCCATCAGCACACACTCACACGGACAATGTCCCACACTCCAGCGCTTGACGTCAGCCCATGCACCGTCCATGTCCTTCTCCAAGGGCAGCCATCTCTTGAAGCAAGCAGGGCAGTATAGCCAACACCATCGCAGTGGGGAAGGCAAGAATTTGCCAAGCGCCAAACCATTGAACTCGAACTGGTGCTGATTCCAGCAGCACTGGCTCGTATAGCCACCTGTGCCACAGCTAGCTTCCGAGCCAAAGGGGTCTTAGTCAACATAGTCAGGTTTGATGCAGACTTTTCGGCTCGAAACAACCACTTCTTGTAAGTTGAAGTTGATGTAAATTGTAACCTGTTGGTACAGTAATTAGTGAGAGATGTTTTGCAATCAACAGTGTGTGAGTGCTCAAAGGCTGCAGCAACCGGTCAACAAAACTTGGTATGTCCCGCGGCGCCAAAAAATCTTCAAGAAATGCCCCAACACAAATTGACGATTGTGGCCAACATGCAAAAGCTCCTTATTTTGCGGACGTTTTGTTGATGAGTTTGCAGTTTTGCCGGAACACGCGTTTTGCAATTGAAGAGGGGCGCTCACGACAGTAATTCCACTGGTAGATGGACATGGAAGTGAACATGGAAATGGTGGCTGGAACAATTCTCTCGCTTCTGTTTGTGGCTCGCCAGGTGGCTAAGTTCCAGCTGGTGGTATCTGCTTGGAGTTGGCGTCCTGGTAGACTGTGCAAGAACTCCAGGGAGGTTGGCCATTCAGACGTTGCTCCCATCAGGGCATTGTAGATGCTCAAGCCTAAACAAGCAACCAGCAGAGACAGCGGTGGAATCGGATGGTCAAACGGACGAGTGCCCACAAACAGGTGGATGAACTAAGTAACTACCAGGGCCACCCAAAGCATGGCTATATTGGATGGAAAACCACAATGGTCAGGGGTCTATAAATCATCCAACATGGTTGGTGTTGGTAGTCCCTTGGTCATCTGATGTCATTACACGATGATGACCCTCATGCATGTGGTTGAGACATCCTTCGCAGGCAATGATTGGATCTGGGACACGTGATTTGTTGAAATGTATGTCAAAAATCAGCAAGACCAGCTAGGCCAATAGTTTGGAACCTTAAATGATCCTAGAGCCCGAGTCCTACTACTGTGAGAAAACCCAATGAGAGACAACCCAAAAACCCGACTCCCCAAGGACGGAATCAATCGAGACAGTTGTAATAATTGTAAAAAATAGACTTAATAACAATATAACTGAACTCAAGATAGATGTGCTGAGCACTTGCTATCTAACCTGGCCAGGAGTGCATTACTTGTTCCACTCAAAAAGGTTCCAAGTGCTCGTCTCCTTTGTGCTTAGGAGGGCGAACTCACACAAAAGGGAAGGGAAGGCTGGAATTCTTAATCCCGAAAAATGTGCTCGAAATAAACTGGAAAATGCATTTACTTACTATTTCATACTATTTCTATCTATTTCCTTCTGGTCATCGTCTACCATCCACCACTTAAAGACACCTTCCGGTGCGTTGCCGGGTCCGAGTCTCTGTCTTCACAGCTGGCCGCGCGCATGTCCCGCAGCAGCTGCAGCGCGGCACTGTGGACATGCCCACCAACAGCTTTGAGGATGCCTGCCACGATGCTCTCATGCGGCCTGCGGACAGCATCGACTAGGGAACTGGCCCTAACTCACCCGTCCCATGCTTCTACGATCACTGCGACTGCTGCAATACACAAGCAGGGAGGGCTGATGCAAGCAAGATATACAAATATCCCGCCGGGCTGAAAACTGAACATGTTGATGCTGGCTGTTTGTGGAGGAAGGATTGTTCCACGGTGCACCAAACACGAGTTTCCATTGAGACTGCAGTTCCACCGGGATTCAAACAAAAAGTGTTACCTCACTGCCGTGTTAACGACCCGAACGATTCTCCACTATGTCTTATTGGCAGGCAACATGGGCCGCGTTTTGCTCGCAATTACAGTATGTGGTTTTTGTATGTTTTTTGTTCCTAACATGGATACCTCTTTTTTTTCGCAGCGCTCAAGACGAGGGTCTGCTGCCACCAAGCCGGCGGCAAATTGCATCAACTCAGAACCTAGACCTAGCCCTTGCGGAGCACATAAACTTATTATTCTTACTGTAGGACCAAGCGTTTAACCCCCACCGCACCCCCACACCCCAGCCCATCCACCGTCTGTCGCATCGCGTACACACATTGCTACCACCGCGGAAAGCATACCACTGGCCTAGCGCGTGAACCGACTGCTATATTAGCCACAAGGGCACCGGCAGGAACATGTTCTTGTGAAGGCCAGTATACAAAAGTGCCACGACTTGACCTGCACTGTGTGCGGTCTCCAGTCCACAAACATCGGTGTGCCTTGCTTTCATCCGACCTTGACCTTGCGCATTCTGGCACACACTGCTTGGCAGGCCTAACCCTTCAGTACGGAAACCTTGAGCACCGGGGGTAGAAGCAAGAAAAAAAACAGCTGCATAGCATTCCAACGTCTGCCTAGTGCGAACCGCGATGGGACACGCCCAGGGAACGAGTAGAGTGGCAGCGTTTGCTCCTTCATTAAGGCTATCTTGTCACCGCGAACAATGTATAACCGAAGAGCGGCGATGGTCAAACAAGCGAAACCCAAGGAGCAAGCTTTATTACTTGAACACGTCAGTTGCACATTCCACTCAAGTTAGACCTGAAACCTCACGTATCCATCCAACCAGTTCAACTTCCCTTTCAACGAGATCGAATCAACGCATCCGCTGGTGCCATGCCTAGCTGCTCCATTTTATCCCGCTTCTTCTCAACGTTACATACCCGACAGTTGGTTACTGGTTCATCCCTTTAAACCTAGCGTACCGGGCCACGGGCGTCTCACCCTTTCAGCTTCTCCAGGCTCGTCATAGGCTGTTTCGCTGCACTGTCTCAGTGACCGCACCGTCTCCGCCGATCTGGTATCTGGCTCATTGGGCTGCGAAACCCTGCAGCACCCTGGTCTATTTATTTCACACCTTTTCAACAATGTTCATCCTTTCCACTATATTCCTCCGCTGCCTCGATTCCACACCACACGCAACCACCGACCACGGCAATTCCTGCCACTACAACTCCTTCCACCTCCACAACAACTCCATACAACTACAACCCCCACACCAACACTTCCTCCTCCTCCTTATCCTTTCCCTCCTCTATCCCTTACCTATGTGGAGGACCCTGGCCAGCTGTCGGGCGCAAGCCCTTGAATAATCATTAAGTAAAACAGGGAAGCCTCTACAGTGAGTCTTTGGGATTAAAGAAGGCCCTTCACGAGAAATCTTCTCCCTGACACCTGAGAGAAGCCTTCTCGTTGAACACAATCTCGGAGGCTCTAGCCTCTAGCCCGGTGTTGGCCGTCAACGTCCCTCTTGTCAAGGAACCCTGTAACAGTTCACGCAACTCATCCTCAGCAAGAAAAAGTTACACTACTCCCTTCTGATTTTGTAGTGTCACAGCCAGCCAGCCAGCCAGCCAAAGCAATTCAGGTGAACTCGACCAAGCCTGGTACTGTGCTGCAGAAGGTCTTGGAGTAGAAGAATGGAGCCTGGCCACTTTACCTTGGCCCCCCCACAAAAACAAATGAACATGTCGGAAGATCAGCACTTCCGACCTTTTCCACCGGTGGAGGCCACAAGCTCAGTTTGTGGAGAATCTCTGAGCTTGCTTTGATACCTGAATCCAGGTGTGGTGACGCCCAAATGCCGCCAAGAATGTCCACTTGATTGAGCCAAGGCATCTTCCTTGGGATCACGCTGTTGGTTTTAATCAATCCCGGACTCATGTTACAATAGGATATACGATAGTGGGTACAAGGGTCTGGTAGACCTGTGCCTGCCGAGCACATCTGAGAAACACACTGAACTATGTTGTCGACGTGTGCGACCTCCCAATTCTTTTGCTGGAAAGCGGCCCCTGCTCCAGAGCGCAAAATAGTGGCGTATGTGACAAGGTCCTTCTGCAAGAGCGCCCAGTCCTGCACACATCCCACTGAAATGCTTAACTTTGCAGGTGCACCGAAAAAGCGTTTCAACACCTTTCTGTTGTGGCTTCTTTCAGGAAAATGTCAAGCTCCCTCAAGGATATACAGTTACATGAATTCTCGATCAAACAGCTTTCCTTCAGTCTTCTGATCCAGTCCCATCCCATGATTCAGTCCATGTGGCCAAGCAGGGCGATGACTTCAGTCCATGGCATTCCGGAGATGGCCGCATTGAAGCATGCAACGTCGGCCGCAGCTTGGAGTGTCAAGGTCCTTATATACAATCTGCTGGCTTAGCTCAGAGCTGCTATGGCGGAGTCGGACCCATCGTGGACCCATTGGGGGAGGAAAATCTATGACGATTTACTTCTCGGGGAGGTGTGGATGAGACCTTGCTATACACAAACACAGGTCTAGCGTCCCCTCTTCGTGGTGGGAGCTCGCAGACTTGCGGGCAAGTGTTGGACTTGCCATCTCCCTGCAGCGAACAACGTGAGCAAGTAAAACCGTAACGGTAAGAATCACAGGTACCTCATGGCTGACATACACGGATGCCTTTCAGAAACCAAATGACACAGCATTCTCACGTATTCATAAAAGTTATATTGACATACATGAGTCTAACAAAGATATAACTGTAGCCATTCAACCCGCGGAGATCGCATCCAATCCTGGCGCCCAGGGTCGCACGTCGCCATGCTTGCCCACTCGCCATCGCACGGAGGGCGGCGCTGCGGCAGAAGTCGTTGACGTCGATCCGGCGCTCGGCCAGGCCGCCGAGGTCTTGCCTGGGGCGTGGGCCGAGGCACTGAAGCGAGCTCATTGGGTTTGCCAAGGCAGACTCGATCGCGGATTGGTTGGTCTGCAAATGGACCACGGGGCAAGGCACTGGACTGTGCTTTTGACCGGAGGCCTGGGAGGGTTCCTGCAGTGGACCTTCTTCTGCCAGCATGTCCCAAGCTGAGCACTATGGCTGCAGGACCCTGGAGTCAAGCTGTGGGCAATTACAACTAGCTTCATTGCCACTAGTAGCGATGGCCTCCAACCTACTTGCGATGGCCTCCACCTATTTGCATCCTAATACCATAGAGCTGGTGTGGGCAATTTATGACATGGAAGCAAAGAAAGCAATCGAGTTGATGCCCAGCCCGAATCCATGTCTTACACACTCTGTGAGCCTGCAGTGCGACAAAGGGTCAGGGTCAAAAAGAATGGTGTCCAACATCACCAGTTCGATCCAGGTTGCAGAGGGCGAAACACCTCTGAAGAATTTCGGAGTCAAAGTGATGTATATTTTCAATATAGTGCATACTTCCAGTACACGATGCAAACGATGGAGTGCTTTTCTCCGCCGCCGTGGCACAAGACTTCTGCCCACAGGACTTCTTCTCCACTCGCTTGCGCCGCCATTTTTGTGACAAAGCTTCGGACCTGGGGCTTTTGGGTTGATCTGCAGAAGAAGCATGACTCACCTGGAAATTGCCATATCATCTATATCCCACAATGGTCTAATAGGGAAAATATTTATCTGGCCAAAGTCTCTCGTGTTGCTCTGACAAGAATTCTGTGGCTACATGCAGCCAGTTCATTGTATGATTCCAGGCCCTGCACTCACGCATGCGACGAGACAGGTTCCAAACAACGAAGAAGGATGCCCTAGCCTTGCCATTTGTTTGCTAATCAATGGTGCCCAAAAGAGAAACTACAAAGGACAAAGCCCCAAACCCGGACTCCTCTGCCTAGTGGTAGTCGGGCAAGGGGGGGACGTCCTGACCATGTTGAATGGCAGGAGGCAGCCAAGACTCATTGGCTTCGAGTTGCCTCTGCTGAAAGCTCGTGAGAAGTTGAAGCACATCCCTCCAACTGCTCGCAGCTGCTTTCATAACTGCCTGCGGAGCTGATCACACAAACTACTGTGGTGGACCTTCCAACAGGTGCCCAATGGAAGTGTTTTGGTAGTGCAGCGTAATTAGTTCATGGGTGACATCTTGGAAAATGTGGGTATACACTTCATCGTGCTGTAACTTAAGGCACTCTTGGCAACAAGTTCATTAAAAATAATAGTAGTGACTGTCAGCGACATCTACAGCAATATGGCACGAGTCTGGCGCCGTGGAGAGCTTCCAAATCCGAGCCACATTTGCATGGATGATGTCGAGCTGACACCTTTGAAGCGACAGGATTGGGCAGGATCAAGCGCAAGGATCAGGTGCATGGGCAAACAGTGCCAATTGAATGAAGCCTTATGCCTTATGCAAGATCTTTTTGGTCTTTATATGGGGGTTCGACTTCGTACTTGGCATTTTGGTGGCAGGCTCCAGTGAACAGCTTGAGACCAGAACGGCCCCAAGACCCTCAGCGCTGGACAACTCTGCTTCCTGTCAGTCCACTCGCACAGGACACTTCACTCACTTGGTTCACTCAGTTTTTTTCCCCTGCACTTCAAAAACCTTCTCCACCCCAAACTCTTATCCAGCTCCGCAGCTGTCATGGCCAGGCCAAACTCAGCCTCCCTCAACACCAACTGACCAACGCGGTCAAGAATCCTCTGCTTCCGCACATCTTCTAGCAGCTGCCAGGCCTGAGCGGTTTGGACTGAGGCATGAGGGACTGCCAGTGCCTAGGGTGGTGATTGGACTGATGATATTAACCCAGGCTGTACCACAAACCAAGCAACATCTCATTTGTTCCTACAATGTCCTGCAAGTTCTACGTTGATTCTACTGGGTGTTATTTCCAATTTTCACCACTTCTACATTCAAACCAAACATGAAACATATGACGTATGTGATGTCATTGACTTCAGTGTCCTCGGCAGGGCAACTACGGGTGCTCATACACTTGGTGTGTGCTTCACATCACGTGTTATTATTTGGGCCGGCGGGTGTTGAACCTATGAGCACTAGGGGTTGGCCGCGTGAACTCAAGTCTCATGTCAACCGAAGAACGGGCCTTCTTCACAACATCGCCACACCCATCTCAGAATCAACATTATTTTGGAGTAGATGGGAGCATTCAACCACCGAGACGATTATTTTTAAAAATCAGCTCTTCCACACGCCTGAAATCACAATGATGCAATGTCAAGTTGGGCAGGAGTGGCCGTTATATGAAGAACAATATATAGTAGATAGCTAGCCAGTAGAATATAAAGAAACGATTGTTTGCAAATAGAATTCCCTCAAGTCCGCTCAAGTTAGTGACATTCAGAAAATCAGATTGCGGCATAGAATGCTGAAAACACATCACTCGCACATATACAATATAGCATGCACGAAAGCACGGTTTCCTTTTGTTTTCTATGAACAACTTACTCAATAGAACGTAATTAGTCAAATGGGTTTAATTGATTAAACAAACTAAATACCATTCAAAATGTCCTTTTACTTTTCCAAAACAATTAACAATCAAAAAGGGCAATGCACACATGATATTTAACTTGATTTCCTTTTGTTGTCGAATTGAATGATAACACATTTAATTACTATAACGCGTGCTTGGATTTCCTATGATTTCCTTTCGCTGTCCAATGAATAGCTAAACCGTTAAATATTAAACTGTTTAATTGGATTGCCTTGAGTTTCTATAACTACTTAATTACTTATGTGGATGTGCTTCTTGTTTCACGTTAAGTTGTTGGATAATAAATTAAGCATATAATTACCAAATGTGATTTCCTTCCTTTTGTTCTGAAAACTTAATTAGATATTCAATTGTCTAACCCTTCAACTGGATTTCCTTTTGTTTTCCGTTAAATAGGTTGACTGACCAGCAGTCAATATATAGAACCGATAAGTCGAAGATAATTGAAGTATTTAAATTTAGACCTCCGACAGCAGCCATTCTACACTGTCTCAGCCCAACATCAATAATTATCAAAAATTGTGCAAAACTACTAAAACTGCGCCTCGCCGAAAAATCTGGTGGTTTATATCATTCTTTGTTGGCCCCCCCATAGCATTTAATTACATCTTTAATTGGACTTCCTGTTGTTTTGCAATCAACTAACTCAATAATAAAACATTTAACTGTTTAATTGGACGCCCTTTTTCCAAAATATTTCATTTAGATATGATTAGATCTATATGTGATTGTGTGTGCAGTTGTTTTTTGACATAACTGCCCTAGATATACACTAATAAAATCCTACCTAAAGGACCTCTATCATATATATTTACGGCTGATTTTGATCTGGTTAATCTTGAACTGATACACGCATTCTATGATGTGCGTTTGCAGTTAGAATATAGTGATGCATAGAAGTATCCCAAAAGTCCTTGACTAGTTATGGTTTTTGTATTGCTGTCGCCAATATTCTAACTGCTAGCTATCTACTATAGTAATTCAATTCATGACCTATATCACTTATATCAATATAATATCGCCGACCCCACTCACTGAGAGCGCGCGCATGTGTGTGCGTGTGCGTCCACACCTGTACCAAAGGACACTCACCATTGCACAGTAATTCATGCCCCTATCAATATTCAACTAACCAAGCAGGGGGCGTACCTGCACCAAATTTTTAGGCGTTCCTTGGGCAAACTTGCACTTGCGCTTTTGGCCTCGCTTCCGTTTAAGACCCCCAGGATCCTTTGGGTTTCTCTGAAGACTTGCACTTGAGCTTTTGGCCTCACTTCCGTTTAAGGCCCCCCAGGATCCCTTGGGTTTCGCCTGTCAAGGTCTAACTGCACTGGTAGTGTAATCACTAGAGTGGGCTATCACAACTGATTTAGCTCTTGCGAGCATCAATCTAAGTGTATGTATAGGATGAGTCTGGTCTGACGTGGTCGATGGTTTCATCCCTACTGTGAGTTGCATGCCATGCAACATGAAACGCGAAACTTCGCTCCACCGAGACGGGTGGGCTCGAGAGTTTGAAAAGCCTGCGGTGCGGTCGCCTCGGCGACTTTGTCTCCCGCGCGTCGGCGCGGCGCGTTCGTTGGTGGTGGACTTCGTTTGCTACCACCTGGTTTTCCACATTGGTAGCGGAGCCCCATCCAGGGGCTCTGCATGTGCTACGCGAGAACGAGCACGAGGTCCTGCATAAGACCCGGGTCACGATCGGCAGAACGAGCTCTATCTTGGTTTTGGTTGCTGGCATTTGCACTTCTCTATATCCACGGCTTTGAGGCCATCCAGCACGACCTTGTGGAGCCCTACCTCACTGTCGCCTCCATCATGGGCAAGCCCACAAAACAGACCCAGGCTGCACCTGCCTCGAGTTCGAAAGAGGGCACGAGCTACGCTGATCTTCGAGACAGCTATGTGCCTTTGTTTTCCGGCCAGCCGGCCGATTACAAAGAGTGGCGACAGAGGATCCACTTGTACCATCGAAAGATGGCCATTTCGAAGAGGAGCAACGAGAGTGTGTTGAACATCGTGGGATCGTTCACTGGTGTGACATGGCGTTTGTTTCAGGAGTGGTCCATCGAGGAGCTGGAGAAAGAAGACGCCTTCACGCGTCTGATCACCACCCTGGACGCCAACTTTGCCTATGACTCCCGCGTGCAGCTTCCCTCCGACTTTGAGAACTACTTCAACCTCCTCCAGAGGCCTGCCGGCCAAACTCTGTTACTGTACGTGACAGATCATGAGGAGGCGTATCGGAAGCTGCAACAGCACAAGGTTGAGTTGCCCTCTCAGGTACAAGGATGGCATCTTCTACGCCGAGCCTCTCTCAGCCGAGAGCAAAGGCAAATGATCACCCTGCGCGCTCCCAGCCTTGGGAAGAACGAGGTGATCGAAGCCATGTACCTCATCCTGGGCCAAGATTTCAAAGGTGGAGGATGGAACACCGAGAGAAATCGACGTTTTGGCTTCAGTCCCCAGTGGAAGAACAGAGCCTATGCGGCAGCAGAGGACTATGAGGGTGAAGATGATGACTATGACCACTGGGAGTCCGGCTACTATGAAGGTGAAGATTGGCATGAGGACCCAACCCATGACCCGGACGAGGCCTATGAATTCGATGAAGACGCCGTCTACTATGGCGATGAACCATGGCCCGACGATGACACCTCCGCGACTTCGCCACATGAACTGGCAGAGGAGTACGACATGGCCTTCGCCTCGTACACCGACGCTCGAAAGAGATTTCAGGAGCTCAAGATGTCCCGCGGCTACTTGCCGATTGTTGCCCTCACTGATCAACAAGGAGGTCATTCGCCCACATCCTCGACTACCTCTCCACCATCATGGAGGGCGAAGGGCAAAGGAAAGGGGAGTTCTAAATCTGGCAAGTCCAAATCAAAGGCCAACATCCGCTACTCCAACACGGACAACCGGCCAGTTGATCCCCGGGCAAGAGCAAAAGCTGCGATGACTTGCTTGCGATGTGGCCAGCCTGGCCACTGGGCAGCTAACTGCCCTCAGAATGCCTCCGGCTCCATGAAATCTGGTCAGAAGCGACCGGCTCCTTCTACCACAGAGGGTATGGCCTTGCAGACCACCTTCAAGCCTGACGAGTCTGCGATGCTCATCTTCCAGGACAGCAATGGTTCCGAGAGACCGGACTGTGTGATGCTTGACCCAGGAGCAAGTGCATTTCTCAGTGGCTATGGCCCATTCAAGCGCTACCTGGACCACCTCAAGTCCATCGACTTCCCAGTTGAGAGCATTCGCATGAGCAAAGGCCGACGCCGCTTCCAATTCGGCGGTGATGCATCCCTGTGGTCGGACTGGTCCGCTCACCTCCCGACCTTCATCGATGGAAAGTATGGCACCATCGAGGTCTTCCTGCTTCCTGGAGGCACTCCCATGCTTTGTGGACGCCCGATCATCGAGGCGTTGGGCATCACAATGGACTTCGCTCAAAAGCGGTTGCGCGTTGGCACATCCACCTGGACAGATGCCACGCTCGGACGCCAAGGCGAATATCTTTGGTCCCTGACCGCTGAGCACGACACCGTCAACTACGACGTTAGTCAGCCTGACTATGAACTGCGCACAGCCGAGCCTGAAGTTGCTGCAACAGATGGCTTCCACCTGAAGGATTTCCTCGAGGCGGAACATGGCTTCACCGCTCATGAAGAGCTTGTGACAAAGGAGCTGAAACCTGGTGTGTGCACCCTCAAGCAAGAGTTGAAAACTATGGATGTGCACCTTCGCACCCACCTGAATGATTTGTCAGCCTTCGTCACCAAGGAGCTACATCGACCAGATCGACCTCGAGTGTTGTGGGAAGTCTACTGCGGCACAGCTCGAACTTCGCAACTTGCTGAGGCCCTTGGAATGGAAGCGCGACAATTCTCCTATGCGACTGGATGGGACTTTGACAACCTGGACCATCAGGACCAATTCATGGCCCTACTTGATGAAGAACAACCGGATGAAGTGTTGGTCACACCTGAATGCAAGCTCTGGTCCCGCATGCAAAGTCTTGGTTGTCGCACCTGGCATCAGCAAGAAGCTTTGATTGCTGCTCGAGCACGACACCATGATCGACACCTCCTGTTCGCCAAGAAGGTGTATCTGGCTCAGGCCAATGGTGGCAGACACGCCACACTGGAACAGCCAAAGCATGCGCTGTCATGGCGCACACGTGCACTTCGAGATCTACCTGGCCGCCGTGCTGATTTC